GATATTAGATATGAAAATAGTATAGCCACATAGTGGGAAAAGAACCAGCGAAATAAAACAATAACAAAATAATAGCGTATGACTGTTAATATGGAAGACACAAAGTGAGGGTAAAGTGACCTAATTTATTTTACATTTATAATAGAGAAGAAAAAAAAAACAATTGTAAAAGTCTAATAATATAGGCATACTAATAGTTATCTTATGATGAGCATTAGGCCTACAACAGAGTTTTCGGCGCTGAAACTCAGTAACAGCAAAAACGTATGATAGCCTATAAATAATGTTTTTATAAATAGGCTACTCTAAACTATTTAATATATTTAATATTACTTATTTAAATTATTACAAACATAGTTAAAGAAAGCACATTTCTAACGAGATAAAATGCGGATTAACATATATCCTGAAATTAAGTTTTAAGTTTTAAACAAATAGTTTTAAATGCCGCGTTTGGCTAAAATTGAGCGTTTTCTGATGGAAAGCTTTATATGGGTCCCTGAGATTTCTGCCATGCCAATCGATCAGAATGCGGATATATCGATCAGAGACCAGAGCCATAGATCACATGCCCTCTTTCGCAGAGCATTTTCAAATACACAGGTCTCTAAATACACGGAACACACTGAAAATCCGGTTCCACATGCAGAGCAGGGCTCAGTCTGAGAGGATGATAGTTGTATCTTCGCAAGAGAGACTTTAACCATTGAGTTTAATAACCAATGACTGAAAAGGGTTCACAGACTGATCTTATAGCAGAATGTTTTTAACGTTCGTTGTGACGTTAGAAATGTTCATTTATAATTCTTCACAAAAACACCTGTTTTGGTGCTTTGAAGACCACAGAAAACTATGAATTACCGAACAACAAGAACTTTCATATATCCAAACAACCACAGGAGCACAAAAATGTAACAATAATCATTAATATATATTTTTTTCTACGTCGTGTAGAACCTATAGTTTTTTATTTGAAATAATGTATTCGATATATTAACTTCTGAATATATCATATCTATATCGTATGCAATAGTTGTTCAGTAATTTCTGAAACACAGAAATTATTATTGTTTTAAGAATAAAGAAAACTACAAGAAAATATGACGTTCCAAATAACTTGTTTATAATTTAAGTTAAAACGACATTGCAACAAAATATTTTGTCAGAGTTCTACTTTTGTGATCCACGTTTTAATTAAAGTATTAAGGTAATACAAGTGTTTGCTTAACAATGATTCTATCAAAACGTCTATGATTTGTTTAAAACAAAGTTTTAAGGTGGAATGATTTGAGGTATTGCAGAGCCAAATCTTGAAAACTTTATTGTCCGATAAGAAAATAAATTTCAAGTCTCACCTAACTCCATGCTGCAATGGTCAGTTTCAACAGGACTGCTTGACTTCTGCCAATAAACCGATTCAAGTAAATTTATTTTAGGGTGTGATCGATCAGCCAAGTGATACTACTAATGCAGTCAAGCAAATTTGAGTCTATCTTTGTCACACTTTGTGATAGAAACTGATCATAGAAAGAATACCTGGACCTTTAAAGCACACTAAACAGAACCCATTTTATCAGCAGTACACACTTTTAAATGAACCGTTTCCCATATCCGAATGACAGGTTTGAAATGCAAAACTTTAGGAAATAAATTGATTAAATATATAATAATACATTTAAAGAAAAATATTAGGAAAAAAATTTAAAAAGACATTCAGAAAAAAAAAATTAAAGGGTTCGCTTGAAGTTCGGAGAGTTAACATTTTTGTTGTATCTTTATTTGTTAATTGGGCTCTTTGAATATTTCAGGGTAATTCGTTTCCCAAAAAATATTGATTCTTGATTATTGGAAGGTCTACGGCAATTTCAAATAAAATCACAATCATCTGTCATGGCCGTGATAACTAATTTTCAAGAGTTTATTTCTGACAACATTTTCTATCATAAATCTAATGTGCAAATGACTATTTTATGATATAAAATGTACAGATGCTTCATTATAATGCAACCGGTGGACACACGTATTATTAAGCAATTGTGTTTGTAGACTCACACCCTTAGAAATGCAAAATAAAATATTGAGTCTCTATGGCTTTCCTAGTCTCTATTTAGATATCGACAGCTTTAATATTTCATACTATGTGAGCCACAGGGTACGTCTAGCTAATTTGAATATTCGAGCGAAAATTAAATCAGGGTCTGCTCTCTAATCATTTATGCAGCAAGTACAATGTTACAATATAGGCTCCTAGACATTATTCAGAGAATCAAAACACTCAAACAATCAAAACTTTATCCCCTAAAGAATTACATTTCTGTTGGGTAGATTTTAAATATGCAGTATGAGCAACCTCTCAACCTACGCAGTCCCACACAAATAATTACAATTAGAAAAACAGTATAAAAATGTGTAATTTTGAAACAAAGGCAAATGTGTTTCTAGGTGCAGCATTTGGTCAAACCATTTTTACAGTTTAAATAGTCCACTTCCTGAAATCTCACTGAAATACTTTTTCCACCTTATATTTATATAGAAAAAAAGTTTGAATCAAATTATCAAAAGTATGTACAATCGCACTCACCATGTTTATGGCACTTTTCTATCATTTAATCTGATAATGCATTGACATTCTTTCCTTTATTATTTAGACTATAGCCTTTTTTTATCTTGTGCTTACCTTTAGCAAATATCTTGTAAATATATCGACAGGTAGGTAAAGGCACTGTATAGGCTCCAGTATACTGTGTGTCAGTATCTTAAATGTAACGATATGCAGAAAACATATAAAACTGACTGTACGATGTTTTTACTAGCAAACACATCAGCTGTTACCGTTCATCTCTACATTAAACCGCATTCAATTATCCTGTCATAGCAGAGCATTATTTTGTAAATAGCAAGGAACAAATCAATGCAATAATCAATTGTGGTTGTGTCCAGATATATGAGCCAGAAATTTCTGAACCCTTTTTGTCGTGTATATAGGCCTATGCACGGGCGCCACATAACATTATCGTATCACTGAACCTTGAGTTCATTTAGATGTTTGAAATTTATTCAAAAATAGCCTGCAATGAACATTGGAATTAAGGATTATGTTGCATATGGTCAAATACCAACTAGTTACTTCACAGCTGCTTAAAATCTACATAAAATCACATTTTAAGTGTATGAGAATATAAATAGTGATGGCACCGTAGATAAAAATCTGCAAGGCTGCAGCAAACAGATTTGTGAGCGGCCTAATTTATTTTCAATAACACTGATTGCAAGGGTCAATAAGAAAACAGCAATCCCAAAGGACAAGGCTGTTTTTCTAACGTCATGGTCCTATTTATCTTTATAATACAATTATAATTTCCTATCTGGATATTTGCAATGAAGCTAAATGGTGTTAAGTTAAGCTAAGTTAAACTAATAAAGGTCGTTTATTTAGTTGTATTGTTGTTTTGGGTCTATTATACATACATACATATATTTAGCCTATAAATATATCGATGTTTTTCTTCCGTTTTATTTATTGACTCCAATAAATATAGTCAAATAAATGAGTGAGGCTATGATAGTCAATGACAATAGGTATTCTTCCCTTTGCGAGTCCATTCTTAGAGAAAACAAATATATTACATTTATTACCCATCCCATTCTGAATGATCAATTTATTGATCTACGACTGAGTGCATTAATAATAGGCGTGAACCGGAAGTGATCATCGGGGGAAAAAACAATAACAACTAAGCATTGTATCCATTTCATCAAATTAATTTTAGCAGTGTTAACTATTATCTCGAAAAGAAGAAAAGTTTAAATACATAGGCTGTATATTTTCAAAATCCCACGACTTTTGCAGTAACCATATACAGTGTTTTTATAAATAGAACAGGTCTACTAATATTTCAGTGGCTGAAAAGACATACATGCTCAAGTCTAGTGAATCAAAAAGCTAGGCCTGTATGTAAATTGAACAACTAAGTAAAGAAAGGAATGTGATACATTTGCATGTTATCCTCATTCATGCAGCATCATGGAAACAAAAAACAGAAATATCTCCTAGAAACTTGTCTAATGAAAGTGTATGCAGCCTAAAACTTGAGTGAATATGAAGTTGGACTTTTTTCCCTTTTTTGCCTCACTTTCTTTCTGTTTTAATAAGTTTGTTTTTTCTGCTATTCAAGGTGCCGAAAATTAAATCACATAGGCTACGTTTCTGCCACAACATAAAGCCTTATAAAACTGCAAATAGCCTATTTGTTCAGATAATGAAATTTGTTAAACTTTCAAACGTTTAACACAAATATGATATGATTAATCATGTGATCTCATGTCGTTCAAAAGGAATTTGACTATCTTATCTACTTTGGGTTTGGGAAATCCATTAATATTTAACCATTAAGATGTCGCGCGCTGGCGCCAAGTTAAGCAACTTTATCAACTTTATCAGGAGAAACCGATGAATCATGTCCATAAAGGAATCCCCAATAATTCACAACAACACTGCTAGTGTCAAAGTGTGCAGGTGTCACCCCATATAAGTAAAAAACTCGAATTCGGACTCTAATTTAACAACAGCAGAGGGACGAATTGTGAGAAGTGAATCACCAATATTAGAAGTCTCTCGTCTTTACAACAGACAGTATTGGTGACGTCAGCCCTAGTCTGAAGCAGAGTGAGTGTACACCCTTTAAAAAGGCTTTTACATCTTGATGAAGTTTCACTAGGATATTTTTATTATTTAGTTATTTAGAAAACAACTATAGCCTGGCGCTTTAAACACACCTGAAACCAATAGGCTGAAGAACTTGTATAAAGAAACATCAACAATTTTTTGAGCTACAAAATTACCTCAAGGTCCACACATAACCAATTTTTTTTTCTGAATAGAAAAAAGGCTCTTTGCTGAACCTATAGGAATCACCGAAGAACCTTTATTTTGTGCGGTGCGCGCACCCGTGCACACAGGCACAGCACATCTTAATATATTGCGCGGTCACGAGGCAAACACTCTCACTCGGTCAGCTTCGACTGTCAGTAGTAAGACGCGCGCCACGGCGATAGATACAAGCATCTAGACACCAGGCGTACGTACATGTGCGTGGTGAAATGCTGGATTGACTAACATTGAAGATCTCAGGGATCAATGGCGCGGCTTTGAGATCGTTTAAAATTTATTGGAAGGGTGAGTGTGAGAGAGAAAGGAAAGAGAGGGAGAGGAAAAACAGTGTCTTTCAACAATGGAACTTAGAATGGAAAACATTGGGAATCTGCACGGCGTGTCACACTCCCATCAATCGGGGGACTTGATGAACTCTCCTCATGCGCGACAGTCAGCGACACATAGGAACTTGGTGTCATCGCACGGGAGGTCAGCGATGGTGTCCAGCATGGCCTCGATACTGGACGGGGCCGGGGAGTATCGCACGGAACATTCGCTGTCCGGTCCTTTCCATCAAGCGATGCCCATGTCGTGCGATTCGAGCATGAGTCTGAGCAGCACTTACACCACCCTGACGCCGCTGCAGCATCATTTGCCTCCCATATCAAACGTCTCAGAGAAATTTCACCACCACCCGCACGCTCACGCTCATCACCATCCCGCGCACCAGCGTCTCGCCGCCGGGAACGTCAGCGGCAGCTTCACGCTGATGCGGGATGACCGGGGCCTCGCGTCCATGAGCAACCTATACGGCCACTACTCCAAAGACTTGTCCGGGATGGGACCACCTTTATCGCCTCTTTCCAACGGCCTTGGGTCTTTGCACAACTCTCAACAGACTCTGAGCGCGTACGGTCCGACTCACCTGGGGACTGATAAGATGATTTCCACGGGAGGCTTCGAGTCCCACGCTGCGATGCTCGGCCGGGGCGAGGAGCACCTGGCGCGGGGTTTAGGGGGCCATGGGGCGGGGATCATGTCTTCTCTCAACAGCATCAACCACCACCACAGTCATTCACACTCTCAGGCGAACGGGTCGGTGCTCTCGGAGCTGGATAGGCAGGCAGCAGGAGGCGGCGGACAAGGTGGTGGGTCAGGGCAGGTGGAGGAGATCAACACTAAAGAGGTGGCTCAGCGAATAACGGCGGAGTTAAAGCGGTACAGCATCCCACAGGCCATCTTTGCCCAGAGGATCTTGTGTCGCTCTCAAGGAACTCTCTCGGACCTCCTGCGGAATCCCAAACCCTGGGGTAAACTCAAGTCAGGTCGGGAGACGTTCAAACGGATGTGGAAGTGGCTGCAGGAACCCGAGTTCCAGCGCATGTCGGCCCTTAGGCTTGCAGGTGAGTGAATGTCACTGAAGTTTCCTCGTGCAAAAGAGGAAATCAAAACAAGCATACAAATCTATATATTTTACTCTTATCTCCTTCCATGCTCTTCAATAATGTAATCAATACACTTAGTTGTTCTTGATTTCTCACAGTTCATCGAAAGGCATCTGTTCCTATTCAGAAAGACAATAAAATAACAGACGATTATGATTTAAACATTTAGAAATCAGACAAACAAGCCGTACAGGCTACCCTTAAATTAACTAAAAGAAGTATTTTTAGGGACATCTAAAATTATTCAATTTTACTATATTTGCTGAGCAAATATAGGTACATAATTATTACTTTCAAATTATTAAAATGTTTTTTAAGACTGGAGGCAGGTGAAATCAGTTAGGCCTAGCCTGTGTAAATTATTTTTACTTAGCATACACCACATACACCATCTGTGACCTATTGCAGGTGTTTAGGTTTGTTGGAAGGCCTATTGTATCATTAAGTGACTTACAGGTCAATAAAGTAAAAACTGGTATTTATTTTTCAAAATATTTATTTCTAAATAATTTGATTCCATTGATTTCAAGACACTAACAAAAATTCGTTTTGCACCAGCCTGTCACCATAGCTACTCAGCTTAATTTCTTTTCCTTTTCATTCAAACTAAAACAGTGCAGACAAATGTGCAATTTTAACCTTAAAATGTGTTCACTGAAAAGGAAATTTGTAAAATTTAATTGAAAAAGGTGTGTATACTGAACATTACCTTCGATAATGGTTGGCAGAGAGACCGCTGACCCATCCAAACCTATCACCTCACGTCGTATTTCAGTTGTGGGTTAAATTAACCAGGATATAGTGGCATATTTTAGTTCCAGTCAATGCCCCGTTGAAAAGCACTTAATGGAATGTAAATTGTTCCTTTGCGCATTTAAAGTTGTTCTGGTAAATAAAGATTTAAACGCAATTCAATTGTCCTCTTAAGTGCAGTTGCTGTTAAAGCTAATTGGGCAACAGAGATTTTTTTCTTCCACACCCTATTAAAAGGAAGTTACCCTAAACGGACAAACTCTATACTGCTACAGGTAGTAACTTAGAGGTATAGAAAATATGTATTTCGGGTAATTCACGGTACCATCATTATTACACAAGCACTTTAAAGTGTGATACTACATACATACATACATACATACATACATATATATAAATGAGGAATTACTATGGTATGCAAATAACAAAAGCAAGTGCATTTAAATGAGCCATTATGCACTGAGCGCATATTGAAGTTGGGGGTTGTGTTTCATAGAGAGTCTGGGAATACTCGTTCACTACATCAATCAATAAATTCAAATTACTATTCCAAATTCATCACAGTCACAAAAATCGATGCCGTGGCACTGCTTGGCTAATGTGAAAATGCCCGTGTCTGTGGGATCATTTGGTAGTGTTCTTCTGGGGCGCTGAAGCGTTTTTTTTTTTTTTTTTTTTTTTGACAGTAATGGTAGTTAAAAAACAATGAGAATATTTTAGAATGTAAAAAAAAAAACTCCAAATAAGCAGCATATATATGGCATATCAGACATGTCACGCGTAAATCTTACAGAAAAATTGCAATCCTCAAATACTGCGCAATGGGCAATGTTAAGATTGCATTAACGATGAAAAACAATTCGTCTCAGCATCTGTGCTGTATTCCACACTCCATCTCAATGTATTTGGCCCAGCCAATACAGCGATCAATAAAGATAGCCAGTACATCTATCAGTTATACCGGCTCAGCACTCTCTCCCATTGGACTCTGGATTTACCAACTGTTTCGTTTAGGAGGAAGGATGTAGATTTTACTGTGCATCATATGGAGTCTCTCCTGTAGTCATGAGTGCGAGAGAAGGAAAGGATAAAAACAATATTAAAGACTAAAGTCAATATGCGTTTATATATGCAATGCGCCACGACGAGATGGTAAATTTGCTGTTTTTTTTCTCTACATTAATTTAAACTAAATGTAATTTTAGGCCTGTTCACTAAATTGCTTTCATAGCATCCATGAGAGTTCTACCCCACCACCTTGCCTTTCTGTGTTTTTTTTTTTCACTTGACAATTTCTGTTAAAACAATTCGTCTCAGCATCTGTGCTGTATTCCACACTCCATCTCAATGTATTTGGCCCAGCCAATACAGCGATCAATAAAGATAGCCAGTACATCTATCAGTTATACCGGCTCAGCACTCTCTCCCATTGGACTCTGGATTTACCAACTGTTTCGTTTAGGAGGAAGGATGTAGATTTTACTGTGCATCATATGGAGTCTCTCCTGTAGTCATGAGTGCGAGAGAAGGAAAGGATAAAAACAATATTAAAGACTAAAGTCAATATGCGTTTATATATGCAATGCGCCACGACGAGATGGTAAATTTGCTGTTTTTTTTCTCTACATTAATTTAAACTAAATGTAATTTTAGGCCTGTTCACTAAATTGCTTTCATAGCATCCATGAGAGTTCTACCCCACCACCTTGCCTTTCTGTGTTTTTTTTTTTTCACTTGACAATTTCTGTTAACCTATACAGATAAGAATTGCTATCTCGCATGAAATTGAGCGCAATCAATCCATTTAGAATAGGTACCACATGTTATATATACACACTTTAACACTTTGAAGTGAAGTGTTTGCTTTTCACTCAACATCATCCTCCTCCTCCTCCTCATCAAAATGACTTCCAGTCTCGCCTCCAGTTCCCAGCCCACGAGGATAGACGCAATTGATTTAGGATTAGCGAATAGAGGCATTTTCAGGGGAGATGGGTTTTTGCAGGCCAAGAAAATGATCGATGTTAACCTTAATAACTGACAGAGCCAGAAGTGAAAATGAAGATGCAGTCACCTGTTTGTTAAACAAATGCATGGAAGCCGTTTTAAAATATGATTATTTCAGGGTGTTCGAAGAGAATCTTTTACTGTCAAGCAAATTCCATGACCAAGATCATTCCACGATCTTTAGACCCACGGTTTGTATATGCCATATGTGACTTAAACGGTCTCGCATTATAGTTTGGGTCTATATAACAAGCAGTGAATTTATATTGATTTCCATTGCTTGGTTTGCTATTTCAGTAGCTCGAGTTTAACCAAACGGGAGAAACTTCACTTTCGTCCCTCCCCCTTTGGCCTACTGCCTTATTCTAATTTTAAAGATAGGGGTTTTGTTCTCCATTATGCGCATTATTTAATGACTACAGGGATTCGACTTTTAAAGGTATTTTCATATCTAATGTTCTGTTGAGGTTCGTCTTGCGTGAACCCAATTTGTTTTCTACTACTAGCTAAAGGTCATCTATTTAAAAACATAAAAGGTAAATCTAAAACGACGTTTTACCTGATATGTTTGGTGTAAAAAAAACAGCTTGAATCGAACTGCGAACTGTTGCTATGGTAACCTCAGTAAGCGAAAGGCGTCAATTTAGTGAATTCCAACTTATCTGTAATCACAACTTTTGTTGTTTCTTAAACGCTGCTAAAGATCTACTCTATGCGTACTTGTATAAAACAACACATAGTCTACACACGAATATAAGAATGTATTATTTGCAAACAACAGGTAGATTTGCGCATACCTTTTGCTAGCGGCGTTATTGCATATTTAGATTGATGTCCACATATGACATGTTTATTCTACTTTACATCGTGATGTTTTAACCTTATTTGCAACCACCATAAGATCTAACATTGTTGCTCTATAATGCGTGCAGTAGCCTACTGTCTCCGCGAGCTTAGATTTTCATGATCAATCTCTGTGCTCGCCCGCCAAAACCCACCACCCTCCTTCATGGCTAACTCAGCAGAATCGTCCCCTGTCAAAACATCGACCTTTGAGACGATTAGCACCAAGTCACGCTGATAAAACCAGCGGACATCCAATAAATCAAATCAGAGAGAAAGATAAATTCAATCCATGATAAGTCCTAAAGAAATGGTAGCCTACCAGTGGGTTGTTTTAAAGGTGAGTGACTTTTAAAAGTCATGTGCTTGTTTAGTCAGGCCATTGATAGAGAGAGCTGGAAAAAAGCGGAAAAAGGTGTAACGTTCTAGAGAGACAACAAGCCTCACCCACATCATACTAACCCCACATATCAGCTGTTTACATTAGTGTTTCACAACCCACAACTTCCAACAGATTATCCATTATGAATTCAGATTTCCATACTTATTTCTCTGATTGCACTGATGTTATATTTAGACTGTACACAAGCATACTCATGCAAAACTCACCCCACTTGCTGATGAAAGCAATTCATATTCATACAAGGGCAATGAATATGTCATGACACACAGACTTTTTAACCACCGTTGGATAGGCCTCTTTGGGAGCCACTCCGCTCCCAATTTCAGCTCAGCCGCACTCTATGCATTGATCCTAGGCAGACTGGTCGGCTGAGCGGCGCGGCCAGTCATCGATCCTTGCACTCCCTCAGTCCTCCCACTTGAAATCCAAGAGAGTTCACATACACCTCCAGCTTTCACAGAAGACACCATTTATTTATTTATTTAGACTTTGTGAAGTCGAGAACCCTTGGAGTTTGGTTATTATAGTTCCAATTAGACGTGATGATGAACCCACGTTTAACCCTCAAAGACAAGAACCTGCCATCGGCCTTTAAAGTGAAAGTGACATGACATGTGGCCAAGTATGGTAACCCATACCATACTCTCTGCATTTATCCCATCCTAAGTGCACACACACAGCAGTGAACACACACACACAAACACCGTGAACACACACCCGGCACAGTGGGCAGCCATTTTTTGTGGCAGCCATTTTTGGGAGCAGTTGGGGGTTCGGTGCCTTGCTCAAGGGTATTGAAGGTGAGAGAGAGCGCTGTACATTCACTCCCCCCACCCACAATCCCTGCCAGTACAAGACTCGAACCCGCAACCTTTGGGTTACCAGTCTTGACTCTCTAACCATTAGGCCATGACTTCCCCCATACTTCAAACTGCCTTTGATGGGTAGTACATTTGTTTGCCCCTTACATTTCACTGTACCTTCAAAGACACATACTGTATTCTGCAATATCACCAATTTATTATTTGGCAACGATTCATATCATAAGCTTTGAACATATAAGACTAATAACCATCTTAAACGTAGAACATAGTTTGCTGGTTTAGACACTGCACTCAGGGTGCAACAATTAAGGTCATTAAGGCAACAAAGGTAAAAAAAAAAGTCTGTTGTTCTTTCAATATAACTTTCAATTTCCAGTCACCACAAAAGTTACCATAGCAACAGAACGTTGATCGAGTGCTTTCCATTGGAATCGGTATCGGACATTATGTTGACCAACATAAACAGGCCTACGGTCATTAACGTTTTATATTTAGCCTACAGAAATTAAAAGAAAAAAAAAAATGGTCGCAGTTTATAACATTTTATAAATGTGGCTTAGATTTTCCTTGTTTCCATAATGTCTTTAATATCCTCTTCTTCAACGCAATGATTCTGACGTAAGTTCATAGCTAATGATTAGCGATAATGTATTGGCTTCAATAACTAACCGACTTTCTTAATAGGTTGAGCTGTTATTTGAAATTACCTGAACATTAGCATACTGATCTTTCCTTATTGCATTACACTAAATGTAGTCGAGTATTTAGACAGAGCCTTGAGCACAATCTTGTTTACAAGAAGAGCTCACCAATTAACACAACTATTCTAGCAAATAATAATAATAATAATAATAATAAACTATTTGGCAAAAAAGAAACGGACGCATAAAGCTATAGGGCCTACTCTATATTCTGATTTCATATTTCAAACAGTGGTCTCGTTAATTTACCATTTTTTGATATTATTCGAATGAGCCTATTTTAGACTGAATTTGTATACAATTTAGCTATATAAACTTGTTCGAATCACAGTTGATGAACATGATGAACATTATAATCCACTGGACCATGCAATAAAAAATTACTTTAAAAAATCAAAAGCTAAAAGAAATATTAGAAATGCTTAAATCTAAGTGCTCTCATTACAAAACGCACTTGTACATAGCCGAATAGATTAAGCCTCATTTTTAAAAAAGAAATAAGCGTTAGGCATACATTTACGGTAAATACGGAGTAATTTAAAGACGTAGCCTATACCTGCGGTTGGCCTATGTCCCACATTGAGACTAATTAACACTATCAAAAACCATGAGGTTTTCTGGACGCTTGTAGCTGTGTTTTTTAGTCATTATTCAGAATCATACTGCAGTGTGTCCTCATTTGTCATCCCCCACACTGCACAGCACGCAGTGCTATTAAATTTGTATTATTCCGAATTTAGACTCAGAGCCCCATTGGTACAAGGCAGGCCTACCATAGTTTATGGCTCATTACCTGACAATTTTCATGGAACTATAATTAATTAGATGAAATTAAATTTCAAAAACGAATTATTTACGGATTTATCGACCGGTATTGAACACCACAGGCCTACCCCGCTATCACTGGTGTATTGCAAGGCAAGTCAGAAACTGCCCTGCTCATAGGAAAAGTTCGGAGTCTGTTTTTACTTAACCATTTTAGCCTATTTGCCATGAACATCTTAAGGGTCATTTCACGAAAAGGGTGTCCCTTTCACGTGTAAACAATGAAAAGCTTAAGTAGCTTACTATGTGTATCATACAAAATAAATAATATAATCATATTTTTTCGCATGTTTTCTTACTGTCATTATTAAATAATGTACAATTCCATCCTATACGCGTAACAATATGAACAAGAACCAGGGTCTTCTCGTTTTATCGCTTTGTAATATTTTTGGTCAGTAGTCAACACTATTATCATGGCATTGTACAATTAACTACTTATTATAAAAAAATGGGTAGGCCTATTTACAAATATTAGATTTAAATTATTTTTCTAATAAAGTACAACTTGAGTACAAGTCTAGCAATGGCTAAACGAAATTAAACTGTAAAACTGTCAACCCTGTTACCGTCAAATGTTATTTTTTGTAAGACAGCTATATCGCAACATATTGTTACATTTAACTTGAGAAGGCACAACACAGTTGAATTTATTCATATTTAAAGGCATTCCTTTGTATGACAATGTTAAAAATCTTAAAGAAATTTGCATTTAAAAAAAATCACCTTTTCAAAACGAAAATGCATCCATTTAGTGCAACAACCGTTGCTCCAAACTGCTGTAACCTGCAACAGCAGAGGTGCCAGGTGAAAACCCTTCAATATTTTGTTTTGTGTAATTAATTCAAATAACTTTAAAATGAAGTTTGTATAATGTTGTATAATCATAGGCAGCAGAACAAGATTCTGCCAGTATATCATATTGAATATTTATAGATCGCTACCGAGAGAAAGAAAGAAAGCCTACAGTAAGTCTTGTTTTATTTATAATTTATTAAATGTAGGCCTATCAAACGTGCTAATAAGCGAGTAGAAACTGTCAAAATCCCATCCGAATGTTTCAATTCACTCTTTGTCACTCATTGACTTATTTTTTTCTGTAGCCTACAATATATTTCTGCTTCTGTCCCACTCTCTGCTCACTGTAGCTCTAAAGTCTGCTGCTATCGATTTTTTCCTTTTCTACGCCGAGCTTGGTTCAGTAATCAGGGCCCCCTTCCCAACTGATCGATCAATATTGATTACAAAATCTTACGCCTGTAAACCGTTTACACCAGGGAATAGCGCCAGCGACACCTGCTGGTAGATTTTAACACCAAACACAGCCTAGGTTTGTTGGATATAAATATGAAATATCTGTAGTGGTTGAGTAGGCTAGGCCTACTGAAAACCACTGTCAAAGGGCAAATGACGTTCAAAAACAGAAGGCTCCAGTAAATCTTGCTGAAAGGTCGTCTACGTCAGATACGCTGAGGTCTGCTTTTTCAGTCGTGGTTATTTCAGTCGAGCAACACAGACGACTCATTACAATTTAAAAGGCTTTAAAGCTGCATCATTCACTTAAGACTCAGTGCTCTGAGACACCTTTATGCTATAGGAGTAATGTTATGCGAAAACAAATATTATAGGCACGTTAAAGTACAGTTAACATTTAAACGGTAGGCTACACTTCAAGTGTACAATGCATTTAATAGCGTGTGCGCGCTCGTGTGTGCAATCGCAGAGTGGCTGATATGGAATCTGAATATGATGGATGCGGTCCAGGCAGTTAGACGCCTGTAGTAAACAGATTTGACTGCGAGAGGTGACGTGATCAATGGGCCTCAGCTCAGTGTAATTAGATACATGGCACCACAGTTTGGCTCCAGTCACTCCACAAACCCACACAGACAGATACAATCCGAGTAAGACGCAAAGAGCTGCTGCTTTTACAGGCTAAGAAATGAATGATCCATTCACAAAAACGCTGAGAGAAGCAAAAGGTCTGGGAGTGCGTTGGAAAACAAACCAATAATAAAACATCTAAATAGTGTAAAAATAAATATAAAATGTTTTTTATATATATATATATATATCTGGGAAAAAAGGCATTCGATTGCCTTTCCACATAATAAAATTATTTGTACTTGTGAGCTGTAAACGAACCAAAGCATTTCTTGGCATACTCATGTTTCCTAACACTCGCTGTGTTTACTGCCCTCAAGTAGGCAGCCAGAATCTCTCTCTCTCTGCATTGCCAGGACAGAAACATATACAGGGAGGTGGTGGTGTGAGTTAAAGGCAGTTTGAAAATACTCTGCCTCTCTTAGGTCCGTGCCCTCCAGTGGCCTCTGTTTGAAGTCGCAGACTACAGACCTGCTGGAGGGGCATTCAGACCAAAGTCTCTGCGGACAACCCCACCTCCGAAAACAGACACATACACACTAAAATAGGATGAGTCAATACCCCCTTGCGTCTTTCCTCTTTTTTATTTCTCTTTCTTTTCTTTCTCTGTCTCTCTCTTTTTCTTTCTTTCTCTCTTACACAAAGACCCTTACTTTTGTATACCAGTCCCTCGCTCTCCTACTGTGAGCCCAAACTGCATTAATATTGAATCAAACAGTAGTGTCTCCAACGACCAGGCTGAGGTGCTCACCGCTGGCCTGCTCTGTCTGCTTCTTTTTAAAGGGATGATTTTTGACCTCCGGGGAGATAGAATGGATTTGTCTTAAATCACTATTAATCCACAGCCAAACAGGAGAGTCTGAACATTTCGACTCCCTGCAAAGCCGTTCATCTGTGGAATTTGCTCTGAAACAGGGCAATTCAGTATATAGAGCAAACACAAGACTAATTAATTTTTTCTTCCCCGTTTTCTTTGTCTACTTCCCTTTCCCTGATGTTTCTTGTTCATCCTCCTGATCCCCACAGCTTGCAAACGTAAGGAACAGGAGCAGCACAAGGAACGCAACATGGCACCCAAAAAGCAGCGCTTGGTATTCACTGACTTGCAGCGCCGCACACTCATCGCCATTTTCAAGGAGAACAAGCGGCCCTCGAAGGAAATGCAGCTGACCATCTCGCAGCAGCTGGGCCTGGAACTTAACACCGTCAGCAACTTCTTCATGAATGCACGTCGCCGCTGCGTCGACCGCTGGCATGAGGAACACCTTCACGGCCATGTAGCCAGTCCCGGCCAGCCAGGCACCTCGGCCACCACCTTCTCCAAAGCTTAAATCTAAATCCCTTTTCCCCTGGGTGGCTGAGACTGGATCAGTCCAAACTCACAGTCACCCGTTGCGTGCCAATCAATCCCACTGCTGCCAAAAAAAATGGCGATGTTTCACGTTAAATGCAACCTTTTACTTTGGGACTGTTATGAAATCAAGCCAGACATTTCCACATGGAAAAGCACCACGTTATATTAACATAAACCACAACGAAGTGAGCTGAAATGGTCTGTTCGTGCGGTTGAGGACAAACGAGCACTTTCACAGCTTACAGCACAGAAGGCTTGTTACTCAAGCAAAGTTGTCAAAGAAAGCCACCACCTGCATCATCATTCTCAGGCCCACGGCGGCACAATTCCCTAGTGGCCAGTTGTTTCACTGAGGCTCTCAGATCATATGCTAAGCTAATGAATTGAGAGACTAATCGATACGGACAGAAAAGCGAAGGACGTCGACCTCTACTGAAGGTGAAATGGAACGAGCTCCCACAACAAGGACTCGCACGTTCGCCCAGCACGGCTCTCCATGCGGTTTATTTTGCACAGATGGAAATGGAGGGCTGGACTGCGATGTTTCATGGCACTTGTGGTTAACTTGTGTCCTTATGATCCAAACTGTCCGTAATGCAACAAGCAAACCAGTTGACAACAGTCTTCAAGTCTGGGGACAAAATACTGGACCATTTTTAGCAAACGGTGCACCATTTCTGATCTCGACAGACTGCAACCTATGATATTTCAACTACGAATAGAATATTTTTCATTCCGTATAGATACACAATAAGCCTAATGTCAAGACAGGTACAGCCAAACACAACTAGGCACATTTAAACACGTATGGAAATATTTGTTACAAAATGCTACATCCACATGCAACTGAAATCTTACTGATATTAATCAAATATTTTGTTTATCCTGCAAAGTGGACAAGGGGTAAACACAGTTCAAATGTTACATTTAATCTAGTGCCAATAATGTTTGCCTTAATATAATAAAAAAGTTCACATACTCTCAGCCAGAGTCCACTCCCAAACCGGCATTATGTGCCATAGCAACCAACAATCAGCTTTTAAAAAGAATCAGAATCTTTTTTAAAACAAAAATATGAAAATAATCAATGCTTTAAATGATTTAGTACAGCTAGTCTGATAAAACCAACTGAAAAGATAGAAATATCTCTACAGCAACACAACAGACACAGAGAAAAACACAAAAAAAAATCAGCTTCTCATCCTCTTTAACCCCTAAACCCCTATTTGTCTTTTGATTTCTCTCCCACTTGCTTTCTCTTCATAATATTAAAGCGGGTAATTGGTACAAAATATTTCTATTTCTTATTAAACTTGTGATCTGTGCATCTGTAAGGCACCTTGTTGATCATTTGAAAAATTCATTTAAAAAAGAAAAAGAAAAAAAGGACTTTCTAAAAGAATAACCAAACTTGGGAGGACTGCAGCTGGACATCTCTGCATTGCATGTGAACTACCACAGGTCATAACAGAAGGAACTTTCACTGACCGTGAAAAAGATATCGCTCTCTCTTGGCTCTGTTAAAGAGTAAACAAACAAACAAAACAAAAAACATAACATGAATTCTACCCGAAATTTCTCCCAAAATCCTCGAAAAACCCTGCCAAATGGGTGTGAAACAAGGGCACAACCTTACCTCTGTGGCGAGATGTTAAAAATCGAAGAGGAGTCTTTTTTTAGTGTCTTTGAATGCAACAGTAGCATTACTGGAAATGTTGCAGGACTTGCTGAACAGATAAAAGTGGGCACTGTTAATGCAACGATGCTCTGAGCATTGATTTATAAGCAGGCCCAGATGGAATCTGCAAAAATTTCAGGAGAAAAATCAGCGGAATTAAATTCAAACATGGTGCAATGTGTAGCTGAAAGCATAATCAAATTAGCCAAAATATTTAATAAATGAGCATTCAGTGGCCAGCAGATGTGCAGAATTTTGTAAATGACTGGCATTCGAATTCAGTGGAAATCTGCAAAAATCTTTCACAGAATTTTGTCCATAGATTCCATGTGGGCCTGATTATGAGCATTAAGAGAGAGCAGATTTGTGCTACACAAATCACTGGGCATCTATATGTATATTTGCTGATAAAACTGACCTTTTGTTTGTAGTGAGAACCAGTGTGGCTACCTCACTGAGCTGGGTGGTTTGTGAAACAGCCACTGATACCAAAGATTTTTTGATCTGCCAGTCCTGTGCTGCCAAAGGGAGGAATACACACCAAATACCAAAAGCCCAATAGCATAACCAAAGCTGTTACAGTTGTAAACACATATACAAATTAATTTTCACATATAAGGTGACATATAAGTGCAGTCAGACTGCATAGCACCACACTGAGGGATGTGGCTGCTATGCAGATTTAGTTGAGTGCCTTTTTCCTTCAACAACGGGTGGGACTGCTCTGATATACACACACTGAAGCACACACACTTGGTTAGTTTACACACAGAACGCGTTTTTGTTTCTTCGTTTTTCTATGTAAAGACGCGCTTTGACCGTTGATCCGCATCTCGCGCCATTTTCAGTGTCTCGCGCGGGACCGCCGCGATTTAAAGGCGCCGTGCCTAGTTTTAGAAACGCGTCTGGAGATCGTGCGCTATATTCCATTCCTAAGCGCGGAGTATCGCGTTTTTAACGCGTTCTGTGTGGACGGCACCTTGCACAATCACTCTAACATACAAATGTACAGTAGGCAGGCATACAGACATTGAACCAGGGGGCGATTTTAACGTTTAATATAAACTGGTGTTAAAGCACTTTATAATGCCAACTTTATCGTTTCTCCAGTATCACTTAACTGTAATTATTTGTGCTAAGAGCCCTTTAAAACGGCCAGCTTTATTTTGCGTTATGCTTGTCTTGAGAGTGAGGCCAGTTTATTTTATTTGCACTGGCAGATATTAGCAAAATATCTTTCAATGTTCATACTTTCACCCTGATTTCACTTAATATGCCGAGGTACTGTACCCACATATGGCCAATTTTCAGGAGCTATATCATAAATCAACTTCTAAAATACCAGACAGGACTTTAATCGGAGCAATTTGGTTCTCTTCAGCTAACATTTTAGTCCAGAACAAGTTTAGAATAAAACCCTGTTTTTGACAATTTGATTATCAAAGATTTAAATACCTGCAAGTGATTCAGGGGAAGAGGTCATTTTAAGAGACATATTGAACCAGTTCCCTCTTATATTTCTCCCATTGGAAACCACACGGACTTGGCAGGAAGGTGTTGACAATTGATTCTGAAATACCTCAAATGTTTTGTGTAAAGTTTATGTAATTTAGATTAAACTAATGCTAATTACAATGCGAACACTAACACTACTAAGACTAATAATAGTTAGTTTTTGAACTTGTGACTTGAAGCTTTATACTGTTAAATCGTTTTTGTTGGTGTTGTTGTTTGGTTGACTCATTTGCCAATTGTTTATCATTATTACTACTATTATTTTGATTGATTGCGGTACATAATTCTTTATAAAAGAAAGACATTTGAATGTTTAGACATGACAGAAAGGAAAAGGATTTGATAGTGGAAGAAAGCAACAACAAAAAATTGAAAGATGACGACAGAAAAGAGCGAAATCACAGTAAGCTGAATTTACAATGTATGCATCAAGTTTCTAATCATTTCAGTTTAAGCATTATTTAAACTTAAACTGTTAATTTCCTTTTTATTTATTTAAAGCTTGATTGTGTTACGTGCTCCTAGCATTAATTAAAAAAAAAAAATACAAGGAAAAAACAAACTCCTCCCATTTGAAGTGGTGGGGACACTTTTTCTGCATGACTATTGTATACTGTATAGAGTAAAGCTGGATCGACCTGGACTTTGGTGGGAGCGACTAGGACGAATAGACCCCAGGGGACATTGGACATGGGTGGGAAGGGTGGTAAAAGTGTTGGAGGGGTCTTTGTTTTGTAGTTTTCTGTCACTGTTGTTTTTCACTGGTTGTGTGCATGTATTGTTACAGCCCTCTCTGCCCTCCTTGTATTTCTTTTATGTAAATAACTCTTTAAACTAGGGCATGGCCATGTATCCTGGGCAACTGAACTTGGTCATGGACCCATATGTACACACGTCTCCTCTTCTGAAATGTAATCTTGTGTACATTTGTTTACATGTGGCGTGTTTCTCGAATTGGGTTGCGCATCATTTCACGTGAAACTGGAATGCTACTGGCTAGTTTTTTTTTTTTTGCAACAGACCCCTCCAACAAGAAATTATCTCTCATCAACTGTAAAACAGCATCACGTACATCATGTTTCTCTTCGGGTCTGTCTGCAGATCCAACCCCCCTAGTCACACTGTGCTCTTCCTCTTCTGTTACCTGTCAATCAATCAGAACCAAGTGTCTTTGTGATGGTGGAAGACAATCAGTTTCAAAACAAGGAGAAAAAATGGTATAGAGAAGACAGGCTGAGAGGAGGAGGAGAAGAGGAGAAAGGAAGGAGGAAAGAGGCTCTCAGTGGTCGCAAGTAGGTGACCACTGCCCTATTTAGCTTGCTGTGGTGCTTATGGTGTGCAACGTTAGCTAACTTTGCAAACACTCTTCCCTAATAATCTTAAAGTAGCATTGCATTGTTACGCATAGAAAACATTTAAGTCTTTCAAGACTTAACTTCCACGAAATTTCAGCCACCAAAAATGGACAATAGAAGTAACAGTTTAGCATTTTAATGGTATTCATCTTGATGCTAACACTAATATTCACTTTAGCATCTACCTACATTTTTCTCTCACCTAACTACTCCCACACTGCTGGACCAATTGAAAAGAGCTAGCGCAGACAAGTGCTAACGTTTGCACTAACAATGCTCTCTAATAACCACAAACCAGTCAATAAAGAGCTGCTGAGGCTGGTTGTCTTTGCACAGAGAACTATGCAAAAATACAAAGAAAAGAAAAGCCTTTACCTCAATCTTAATCGATGTGGCTGGTTCAGGCTCTTTTCCAGTTCCTCAAAATCCACTTTAGTCACCAGGATGATGTTCAGGAATACCTGCACCAATTTTTTTACTGATTATTTTATACTGAAACACAGTATATACTGAAGAGTAGGGATGTAAAGATTCACTCAACTCACGATTCGATTCGATTCACGATTTTGATTTCACGATTCGATTCAATTCAATTTTCTTTTTAACAAAATGTGTCCTTTTATTATTGCTTGGACAAAATACTGTACGTTTCTTTGTGAAATTGAAATATAACACTATAATAATATACTAATATAGCACTTGTAAATTATTGCTCTTTTGTTGGTTTTGATTGCTTCTATATCTAAGCGTTTGCTAAATAACAAAATTGAAATATAATGTAAATGTAAATAACAAAACTAAATTGAAATTTTAAAACAAGCCCCAAATCAAATAAATAAGTAACACAAATAAAATAAATCTCTTCATATAAACAAACTAAGACTTTGTCTGTGCTCTTTCCATTTAAAATGAGAGGCAACCACTGCATTTTAATCATGATCCAAACAAAGATGCTGCATACAT